GGTGGGGAAAAACATCCCCGATCTGTCAGGCTTCGGGGGCGGTCACTTGGAAGGTGCCATACCCGAAGGTTTGGGTCATTTGTTGAGTCCAGAAATAGAGTTTTTGCTCAAAACTAGTTATTAAGTTTCATGACAATCGCCTGGTACGTTTGTAACACGGCTGGCACCCGGGGGGTTCATAGATTTAAGAAATGATGTACATTGAAAACATTAAAACATGTCCCCCAGTGCCTCAGCTTTGGAGATTCATCTGATCTCAACCAGCACCATGGTGTTCGGGCGGTTGAACAATTGCATAGTCAAAGGGGTCTTTCAACCAACGGCGTAATGGACAGTTTCTCTGGCGAAACTTGAGGGCCCAAAAGGTTGGATGTGAGGGAACGGGAATCGAAAATCATGGTCCAATGCTCCGACTTCTGTTCCGGGTCTCAGTTCGGGAGTCTGAGTGTCTGCTGGCGGAGGCGGAGTCGTCGAAAGAGGCGTTTGTGAGTGGCCAGTCGGGAGTAAAAATGGGTTCGATGCTTGGTGAATTGCCACCCTTGGGCTTTGAGCTTGAGATGGTGTGAGATGGATGTGGTGATGTTCTTGGATCCAGGCCTGATCATAGGTGTCATGGGATGTAAGCTGAATGGTGGTGTAGTGGTGGATGTTGTTGTGAGAATGCCAATATCGTAGGGAGAGTTCTGCTGATACGGGAATGTTGTTTTGGAGTTGCTTGAGTTTGGCTTTGCGATTGTGTTCTCTGTGGGGAATGCCAATGGCCGTGGAGCCGATGTAAAAGTGGCCATGTTGGTGGTAACAGCGATGTGGTGAGGTGGGGCTGAAGTAGAGCTTGATGTAGACTGAGTTGTGGGAGAGAAAGTTGTGGTAGTGGTAGGTGTGTGGAAGAATGCGAAGCTGGCGGAAGCGGTTGCGCCACTGTTGGGATCGGTGTGTGGTTGACGGATATGAGAAGAGGAGGGTGAGGTGGATGAGGCCTGTCGTGAAGATGGCCTCTGCTCGTTCAATGTATTGGGTGTAGTGAATCGAAATTGATAAGGCGCGGTGAAGGTGGAAAAGATGTTGCATGGTGGTATGGCTGGGCTGCTGCTGGCTGAGAAAGCATAGTCAGCAGCCAATGGCTGCACCAACGCTGACGAGGTGTTGGAGACTGCGGATGGGCAGGCGGTTGACACGGCCCAGAGGAAGGCCATAGCGAGTGGCAGCTTCCTTCAGCTGTTGTGTGGTGACCTTGCTGGTTTGGAGAAGGCGTAGAATTTCATTAGCAAACTCCTGGACTGCGGGGTCAAACGTAGTGACCCATTGCTGGATGTCAGTGGTGGTCCAGGTTTCAGGGACGTCTCCGCCTCCTGGCATACCAGGCAACTTTGCCTCGACGAACTCCCCCCTCCAGGGTTCACGTCCGACTGCCATGGTCCTGACTCGTCATAACTGCTGTCTGCCATCCGGTAGATGGCAGGCTGCAAGCATCTGGGGCTGACATTGCAGCGTTGGATGCAGGCCGCGCCGGTAATGAGCTGTGAGAGAACGTCCGATGCACCTGCTTTGTTGGCCGTCGCCATACCCACCAGCCAGGCGAGACAAAACAGTAGAGCCGGTAGCAAAGGGTCATAGGGCCCAAGGGGGCCAACCAGCATGGGCGAAGACTTGTATGCTTTGATACGCTTGGCGCACTGCCCTTGCGTCAATTCCTTGGTGCTGAAAGAGTCATTTAAGACTAGGACTGGGCCAGGTCTGTTGGGCCCTCAGCGAGCTTTCCTCCACCAGTTGTCCCGTAACCTCCCCATAACGTCACCCGAACTCCGGCAAACGACTCATGGGTGTTGCATGTGCAAGCTTCAACGGCTGGAAGATGATCCATGCCATCCCCCAAAATAATCAAACAGTATGGGGCCGTGTGTGTGTGTGTGTGTGTGTGTGTGTCACACCCTCCCTAAGGGTTTATCCACAGAATTTTCAGCATGCTGATCACCGTGACGTACCTGCACTTGAGCGTTGACAAGCTGTTTTACTCTCCTTTTCCTTTACAGTGCTAACGCGTGATGTTCAAATATTTCGTTTTTTTTCGGACCATTCACCTTGCGGCTGCGTCAAGTCAAGGTCTACCTTCAGTAATGTAAAGGGCTAATGCACCTGCGAGTCACTAACTGAATGAATGCTCGACCAGCTGAGCTATATATCTAAATGTGTCCAGCAGCATCGTCCCACTGCGGTGTGTCGTGTGATCCCTTCGGGGCGCGTACTTCACTCCTTTGCAAAGGCGAATTTCACTGACTCTGTCCGTTTGCATCGTGCGCCGATTTCTGATCAAGAGTCTCTTGCACGAAACTAACTGCTGACCAAATACCGCCAGGCACACAGAATTCTACTCCACCTGAGTAATTCATGAACGCTTCTTAGTAATTCATGCGTCGGTTCCCTTTTAAGCCGCTTTTTCTCCTTCTTGCGTTTTCTCTTTCTAGGTTCTCGTTCGTTGCTAAAGGCATTTAGGTGTAACTGGGACTCTTCATTCAAGAGTGCGCCGGATTCGGCTTTATGACCAAGTGCCTTTCACATACACACACACACACAACGCCACAAACACCCGCACTCCCTTTCTCCCCTGGGTTTCCTTCGTGTTCTTCAGGCTCGTTTAGTCGACCCACCCCCTCCACACGCAACCCCAAACCAACCTTACCCCTCCGTTTTCGTTTCGTTCCCTCCTGCCTTTTGTTTCTCTTTCTAGGCCTTTCCCTCCTCTAGAGGCTTTTTAGGTGTGTAACCAGGTTTTTCTGCAAGTGAGAGCCCCGTTCTCTTTGGAGATGCTTTCCTTCCTTTCCCGTTTCTCTTTCTAGGTCTTCTGTGCGTTGCTGGAGGCTTGTTAGGTTGTAACGGATGCTTTTTCAGAGTGCGCCGATGTACCGGCTTGTTGTGTGTGTGTGCGTCCGATTGTCCACAGAATTTTCAGCAGGGGGCGACAGAGTCGCTGCATGGCTGTCGCCAACGAAGCTCCATGCAGTGACTAGGATATCACGGCTGATCACCGTGATGTACCTGCACTTGGGCGTTGACAAGCCGTTTTACTTTCCTTTTCCTTTACAGTGCTAACGCGTGATGTTCGAATATGTTTTTTTTTTTTTTCGGCCCATTCACCTTGCAGTTGCGTCAAGGCAAGGTCTACCTTCAGTTTTGTAAAGGGCTACAGTAATGCACCTGCGAGTCACTAACTGAATGAATGCTCGACCAGTGGAGCCTTATATCTGATCTATAAGCCCGACAGCTTTAGGTCACTCCCAGAATGCACATCATGAAATGGACTACCAGTAAGTTCAACCTACTAACCTACTGGTTTGGGCGCGAACCTGTTGAATCCGACGTCGACATGCAAGTCCCTGGGCTTCGGAAGTCGGTCGGCCCATGCCTCGTCCGTCGAAACGACCGTCCGTGCCAGCCACGCCTCTCCAATGATGTAGGCCCATGCCAAGCCACAAGCCAACAAAATCGCCTCGGGGCGGTTGCGATCGGCGCGTGGTGAGGACTGTTTTTCGTGAGAGCAAGGAATGTCATGTTATGTCAGGAATAGTGAGGACAAGGCTGGAAACCAACCACTACGGATCCGCTGCCACCTCAAAAGGTGCTGAGACCCTCATAGACCCTCACCCTGCATGCAGCCAGTTGCGAGTTGCTGGGTTGCCTCATTGGACGCGTCCTACCTCTTCTTCCAGATTCCACTTAACGGCACTGAGGGGTTCTTAGCATTCATCTCTGCTTCTTAACAACCAGTAACCACCCAGCTACCGTCGACACTGTCTTTACATGGCCCGAAGGTATAGCTACGTTTCAGTCCCCGTGGTTCCTGTCACTTCCCGACGAGCAAACCATGGTCGAAACCAATCATGTCCAACAGGGAACAATTATATAAGAGGGGTCGACGCCACCATGTTGATCCATGCTGGTTCCCCCTGGGGGGTCTAACCTCAAGGTCTCCCCTCTTTTTCGGACCCAAAAAAAGGGGCGTAAGGCCTTGGTAGGTCCTATTGGCATCCGACCTCATCCGCTCCGCCATCCACATGGCCCCAAAAGCATGTTTGAGCCTGACCAGCTCGACCCGAAAAAAACCCGGCGCGACGGAGACCGTGACCTTCTGCGTCCGAGCGGCGCTGCAAAAGGTGCGCTCCAAGACGTTCCGCGGCGTGATATCACCGAAGCCCACCGAGGTGATGGTGTAGCCTGAGGTGGGAAGGTGGGGAGACTCGACTCGGACTGAGAGACTCGACTCGCCAGACTGAGCTTGGGAGGTGTGTGTTCGTTTCTGGAGAGATGTGTCATTCGTTGTGATGTGCATGTGCGCACTGATGGTTTCTGGACACAACCCAGGCAGCCCGAGCTCTCCAACTTGTAATGCCACCCTTCCGAACTTCAAAAAATCACCCCCTTGCATTGCATAACATCAGCCACCAGCGATGTGTATTCTCAATATATATATATATAATGATATATACTGATTCTGCTCATTCCACCAACGAGTCAGCCCCCAAATAAAACCTCCTTTGTGGAACCACTGGCAGCCCACACAACAATGTCTCAGTCCTCACCGTACCTGAGGTTCGGTACGGCTGGATCCCTAGGTTTTGGGGGAATTTTTGGTCACATCCGCTCCCCTGGAATCATGGAAGTGGATGACTTCAGGCCCTCTTCAGGGAGCATGTTCCGAATACCATCCATGGGTGCCACTCTCCTTCGATTCTTTGGGGGCTCCGTTCCACCATAAATACCGTTTCACAAGGTCGGCGAGAGACGTGCGTCTCGTCGGCCGGCAGCGGACGGTCACCACCAATTCCAGCCCAGGCGCAAGCAAAGTAGAAGGCAGCGATGTAAACTCCTGGGTCCGAACCGCAGCACGGAATCCCAGCGGACGGACGTGAGGTCCGTTATGGTCCGTTATGGTCCGTTCTGGAAGGCACCATACGCACGCACGCACCCAATAAGCACCGCGCGGAAAGACTCAGAAAGACCAAGAACAAGAAGAATTACCACAACAAAAAGCGATAAACGCTGGTCATATATTCTGTTCATCACTTTTCTAGCTTGGGATATGTGTGAATGGTTTCTGATGGTAGTCTTGCTTTGGTTTTGAAGTTGAAGTTGATATAAACACAGGTATACAGTCTACAGGGCGCTCAGTCTTTTGGGTTTGGCAGCTTGGAGAGGCACAGGCACGATGATGGACATGATATACGGCGTTGAAGGCAACATTCCTGGTTCAATCTGTATGCGGCCATTCAGTGAAAGGCATAAGGCAAGGCCTGTCTGTTCCAAAATGACTGGTAGACTCTATATCGGATACACTCCTATATATATCTAATATATATTTATCTATGTATCAATCAATCAATCATCATCAATGAATGAATCAATCTATCTATCGATCGATCTATCATTATCTACCTGTCTACAGTATTCGAATTGAAAGGCTCCAAAACAAGGCCGGCTTGCGGCGAAAAGCTCATATGCTAATGCTACACCCATGAAACTCCAGAATTGGCTGCTGGGTCCATCGACCAGTGTTGAGATCCGCCCCCCAACCTGTTGATCTCGGATCCGCTGCCACCTTCTCACAGGTACTTGAACCCTCACTTCACCTACATGGAAGGATCTCCAATATTCTCCAATGACCCTCTCCAAGGGCATGTGGATCCCCAGAAGGCAGTCAGACATGATTGAGAGATCCGTCTCGACTGCGCCACGTGGTCTCAAACCGTCTCGGCTACCGTCTTGGAGCGGTCATTGGCTACACTTCAAGTTCAACAGACCCAAACACGACCGGGACCTGGGACTGCCGGACTGCCGAGAAACGGCCAGGGGTGGTGGTGATTTTGGGGGTCTGTCTGGGGCGATGCATCTGGCCTTGATTTTGTTTCCAGGGCGTGCGACAGCTCAGTGGCCTTTCTCAGTCTGAGAATTGAGGGCTTGCTGCAGTCGCAAATTGGCATCAGTGAGGCACTTGTTTTTCACACTCTCCGACACCAGTAACTTCTGCCAGTCTTCGGCGTGTTTGTGTAACAAACCCTGCAGTTCTTGCTTTATTGGTCCATGTCGTTGTTGAACTGAGCTTGCAGCTGGTCACGCTCCTCCTCACGCTACCCCAACTTTCGGCCAGCGACCTACTTCTCGGGTTCGCTATGGACTGGGTCCCTCTTGTATCAGCTGCCCAGAAATGCATGATACTTTCGTGTTAGACTTCCATCGCAGATCGCGCGTCAAGACCGGCCAAGCCCCCGGATGCTCCCCACCGATGTCCATCCACCAGGCGGCGTAAGGGTTCTCTCGACTCAGGATCCTGGTGGAACTCGTGCGAACCGGGTCGAGAGTTCGAACCGACGAGTAAGATCCACGGATCCAAAGCATCCCAAGAATTGTACATATGCGAGTCTCTTGGATTTGCTGAAGGAACCTGGAAACATCTTCCCCAGCAAGGGATTGAACATTCTTTAACATGTTTTAACCATAGGGGAAATCAGCAAAACCAGGTAAAAACAAATATGCCACTCCCATGGAGTGGGACTGGGCTATGGGTCCACGGGTCCACCGGCACCGGTGATGTGTTCGACTGCACGGTGCCAGGTCCAGTCGTACACGCGGGACTTCATGCACACAGAAGACTCTATAGCAATCCCATGGCAAAATGACGATGTTCATGGGATAATAGATAAGCTGGAGGGTCTATATATATATATATTGTGCATTCAAAGTCACATTAACCTCGCACTCAACGGGGTCAAGCTGGTGTGAAGATCTAATGGCTGAGGGCAATTGACATAAACATCCCGCCGGGCTCGTTTCCGCGCGTGTGGTTGCAAGCGTTTGTCAAATCTTCACGTGGTTGATGATGACAAATGCGTGGTGTGTGACTGTGTTTTGCATTGATGCGAAAGGTTTTTTTGCAGCATGTAGTACATGAAAACAACTAGAAAATCGTTGCGATTTTCACATCCAACTGCTGCGAAACTGTGGTTTCGTGCAAATGAAACGCGCGCTTTTTCATCCTCCACCATCATCATCACACTCATCATCACAGTCGGTCCGAAATGCACAGGACATGAACATCATTAGCCCCCCACCCAACCCCCCCCTGCCCCCTAACCCCCCGATACGTGCATCACATTGGAGAATTGGAGCTTTCCTAGAGTTTTAAACTCATAGCAGGGGGATGCCCCACACCTGAAGAGAGGGCATCTAACAAAGAGGCCCTTCAGGTTGTGCTGATATCATCAAGGACGCTTGCTGACGTACCTGCATCATTTTTAAGATTCCGGTTGTGCTACAACTCCTGTCTCCACGGAACTTGACCACAGTATCTAATTCTAAATCACTGACCTAATTCGTATTACTTTTCCCTTAATTCAGCGTTGTACAGCTCAGCAGGGGGCCAGCGCATGACATCACAACGCTGGCGAGCGAAGCTTGTGGTGTCATAGGAAGCGGTCAGAGACGTTTGACTGTGTACCTGCTTTTAACTCTTACTTTTCCAATGATGTAAACAATACTGCTCAGGCTGACTTTATCGCCTTTCCGTTGCGAGCAGGGCCCTTTCCAGGTTTAGGTTGGGCGCTCTAGAGGCTAATGCAGAAACTAACTCTCGGGAATTTCCAAACTGATTTAGCTCTTGCGAGCATGGATCTAAGTGTGTGTGTGTGTGTGCGTTATTACCCCCCAAAGGACCGTATGAAAAATCAGCTTCACTACACGCGCGGTTTTGAGCCCATTAGCATAAACATGGATGTCACAACCAAGCTCCTTAGGAACATAGACTCATATTAAGTAGATGAAATATCCGATCAGTACAGTGCTACAGGAATTGCAACGTTCCTTCTACATATTGTTTGACATGTACCATGTTTGACCCTAGTTCTCCACCTGAAATGCAGGATGCGATACAAATCTGAACTGTAATAGAAGAATATGTGGCACAAGGACAGGGGGTGGTAAGGGACCAATGACCAACTTAGGGTTGTCTAACAGTACAAAGCACTCATCATGGCTCTGCATGTTCATCAACGAACTCGTCTAAGTGGAGCCTGAGGGCTATTGGCTACCATACCCAAACACTCCATGGGACTGCCATAATATATGCCTACATTGACCCCTCAAACCACCCCAACTGATCAGCATATATGGCAGTCCCATGGAGTGTCTGGGATATGGATCCATATGGGATAATATATACATATATATATATATATATGGTCACTAGTTCCCCAACAGTACCCAAACACTCCACGGGACTAGAATATGTGTGTCTACATTGGGCTCTCGAACCAGACAAGAAGGGACGAGCTCCAAAAAATACACAAAACGAGAACTCTTAGCTCATGATGGGTGTGGAGTGTCTACCCTGGAAGTCCAAGATCATATGAAAAGTGGTTGAAATATGTTCCAGCAGTCACAATGGGATGCTTAATGGAGGTTAGGGGTGCCCATTATCCACTCACTTAGGGACTAAACACAACCCTTTGTGACTCCTGGTTGCTATGATGGTTTTGTCGTGCAAGAACGTGCAACATCCCTCATCCAAAAAACAATATAAAACAACATGGCTTGTTCGCGAATCAAAGGCTCTCAAAATCATTGTATAAATCCAATGATGGTCCAGGACTCGTATGACCAGGTCTCTACTCTACATACCTTAACTTACCCTATAGATCCCTATGGGGCTCCTGGCCCATATCGTCAGGTTCGGTGGCATCCACCCCATCTCAGGAGGCCTTCGCACGGGGAGACAGCGCCGACGAGACGAGACGGTCGCCGCGCGAGGACCGTCGCCTCGATGGAGTCGATCCAACGGGCCTGGTAGTCACCTTCACCTAGTGGCACGGCAGCACGGCGACCAAGCTTCTGAAGGGGATCTAACAGGACGGTGAAACAGGAAAATGGAAGTAGACACGCCTCCCAAATGGTGGAGAAATCCACTTTTCTTTGCCAAAGAGACTTTAGAACGACCATTTGGTTCTTCTTCCAAGGCGGAGAGATCGGTGACATCCGCGCCCTCGTTGGGGGGGGAGAATGAGAAAATGGATCCCCTCACCTCCATCTGAGGGTCATTGAGGGTCCCACCCGACTGAATCAGGTGTTTCCTGGTGACCAGTCTGGTGTGGGAGACAACCACCTGTGGTCGGGTCTAACAGCCTGGCCCGGAGGGTCCTGGTATAAGGATCTGGTTGTATAGGTCGCTCTGGTCCCCTGCTTTTCGGGTGGCCACCTTGACAGCCTCTCCCACACACCACTGGATGATGGTTCGGTTGCAGGCCTTTCCATGTCTCTAAAAATGTGAGAGTTGATACAGTACTTGTTTACATACTATTTGTTGCAAGCAGTAGGACACCCCCAAGTTGAACCTTTAGTTGCTAAGAATCTTTCTAAACCAAAAGGAATCAACATGACAAGCCGGTCTGGTGGACCTATGCCTGAGGACAAACACGACCCGTGGCCTGCCGAGAAATGAACATGGATATGGACTGACCGAGCAATTGGGGTGGTTGAAAGAGGAGTTAAAGCCCACACAGGACTCATTGGAGAATGGCATCTTTGGGGATTCAATCCGAAGTGTTGGATCAGGTCACCCGGTCACCCGGTCAGTTGTTCACCAAGTCACCCAAGTTCAGTGTCATCGCCCACAGGCAGGCCACCTGACAAAGCTCGCCGGGAACACGGGCAGCGCGGCAGCGAAGTGTGTGAGAAGCGGGAAAGCGAGACTGACAATCAGCAACAGTTGATGAACAAGGGCATCGCTACTAGTAACAAGACGCTACTATATAGTAGCAAAGGGCATCGCCACTAGGAGCAAGGATGCTACTAGGGGCTCCTGGCCTTACTACTAGTAGCAAGGACGCTACTAGCGCTACTAGTAGCAAGGGCGCTATTGGGTTGGAGGTGCTTTTTTCAATTCCACATCTTCATAGGCCAAGCAGAACAAAAAAACATCTACCAGGACCTGACTTCAGGTCACTATCTGCGACTTTGTCTACAAAAGCCTCCACTTTGAGACCTGTAGAGCTAGACGGAGACCTGTAGAGCTAGTTCCCAACTACTCCACGTCCAAGCGGCCCAATGGCAAACGAGGACCAAGACCACGAGGAATCCTTGGTACTCGAACGCTGCAGGGTCGAACCCTGCTCCCCCCCCAAAAAACCTAATACAGGTTCGACAAGGGGTGTCCAACAACAACCGGGCAAACGGAAGGTACTGGGTATAGACTGTCCTGCGAGGAATCCTTGGCCAAGAGATGCGACATGAGTTTGCACTTGCGACATGTGATCCCGAGTAGTTGATCATCCCCCTTTGGCGACATGAGTCGATAATAACAAAATGAATCAACATGGATCTTAGACCGCAATCGGATAGTTTATCCAACGGGGAAGAACTTGTCCAAAAATAACTTCCCCAACACACGGCTGCTCAAATCGTTCCACCACCCTTCTAGTTCATTTGCCTTTCGAAACAGGGGTCTGAACAGCCAATCTAGGGCCGTGACCCTCTGGTTGGTGGTTTCAACTCCCCAAGCAAAAATATAAGTCAGTGACCTCAATGATCCCAATTTTCGAAGATTGAACATAAGTGTATAGACATAACCATGACACACTGATTAGTTGATTTGAATGTGCCCTCATAATCCGGACCCTCAAATGGACAGGGTTTCTTTGAGGTCCATACCGCTAAGAGCTCGGGGTCGTCCCCCAAGGACGGTCTATGCTGAGCTGTCGAGGCTCTTGCAAGGGCCACCTTCTGATATGGGATCGACAAGGGTATCTCCAGGTTGTGGATCATCCTGCGCGGACGGCATCGGCGTGATGCTCTCCTGAAAGACCAAGCCAGCTTGGCACAAATAGAAAGAACATGTAACAAACATAAATCACCGTGAGGACCTATATATGCACGCGATCTGTAGCTGTAGTTTTGAAGTGGATGTCCTCTGTCTGATTGATCCTTCCTCATTTCGCTGAAGAGTATTACCTCGCATTACCTTGCATCAAAGATTCTATACACTTATATACTTATTGGTCTACAGAAAAACGGTGCAACACCCAAGAAACATCAGATGGATCCTCTCTTTATAGGAGCAAAGGGCATCGCTACTAGGAGCAAGGACGCTACTAGGGGCTCCGGCCTTACTACTAGGAGCAAGGACGCTACTAGGAGCTACAGTAAGTTCAACCAAAACCTCAAAAGTGATCCCTTGAGTTCCACCAGAACAATGAAAACAACTCAACCCCTGGGCGCTTTGTGCAAGGGTTCTTGGGCGCAAAAAGCATGAAATCATACCTGGACCTTCAAGGGTGTCCTGTCTGGAGGTCCCTTAGTGGTGGGCTGGGGCGAAACCAGCCAGGTGACCCCGACATGAAGGTGCTGGTATGAAATCCATAGTTGTAATCCTGGTGACCTGTCCCTCCCGAAAGCGACTCAAAGTCCTTTTGGCCACTTTAGGCCCCACCTGCACCCGCCCGAATCGGGTGCGACGAGTCTAGGGAATGCAGGAATGACCTCCCAATAGAGATTCCTTAGGGTCCATTCCCTCATTCCTGGCTAAGCACCAGTCAGGAAATGCATCACATCGATCGGAGAACTTGTTCCTGGAAGTCTTGACCAATCGTGCCAACTTCAACAGCCGCAGGGCTCGTAGCACTTTGATGCCTCAGTACCGGAGCAAGTACGCGGAGCTCCGGTGAAAAGGACAGGTATAGCTAGGATCCCAAGGATAGGGGAGGGAGGGAGTTGTTTTGACCCTGAGGTGGGGCGTTTCCCCATCCCCAAGTCAGCAATCCTCGTGATTCACTTGTCCGGATGGGAGCTGGACCTGATCGGATCGGGGCATCAGGACATGAAGTACCTTGACTCAGGATCGGAATTGGCCAGAAAGCATGGCGCCACAGATCTCCACATGGCGCCAGGTCATCCCTGGATGGAACCAGAATCCTCCGTGGATTGACCTGAAAAGAAGAAACAACTCCAGGTGTGGATCCTCCATGGGCGAGGCCACCGGCATGTCAAAACCCAAACAAAAAGCATCTTCAGTGGGAAAAAATGATCAGATTCTGCATCCCAAAACGCTGCATGTGTGGCAAAACGCACCTATAATTCCCAGACACTCCATGTATGCCGTATACGCTTACATTATCTTACATTGGGGTGGTTGGGGGGTCAATGTAGGCATATAGCATACATGGAGTGTCTGGGATTGGGGTGGTTGATTTGGGGTCAATGTATGTATAAACATGTCACACATGGAGTGGCCCGGGGGCAAGAAACCTCAAGACCATGGTGCATTTGCAACCTCAAGCCTCAAGCCTCGCCAGGAAACTGCTGCTTCAGCTTCCGCGTTCACTCCGTCCATTCCTCCCACCTTCACCGCTTCTCCCGCCCTTCTCCGGTTCGCTCCAAGGGGCTCTTCCACTCATCCATGGCCGAATCCGCCATCAAGGCCATGAGGTCGAACGGGAAGACCGTGACGAAGTCTAGGAGGAACCAGGTCTGCCTGAGGTCTCGTGGTCGTCACCATGCAGCTACAAATGCCAACCATTCAGGGGTGCTTTCCCTGGTTTTGCGTGAGCATCACAGCAAACATGACCAGCATTCACCCCAAAAAAACATCAGTCATGTCGGCCACATTTGCTTCTTACATGGCACCCTTTGGGCCACACGGCAGACATCAACGCCTCCAACGTGCAGCCACGCGCAGCGGTCAGGACTCGCCAGGTGGCAGGTAGTGCAGGGAGATCATTCGGATGTCCACTTCCCAAACAATGCCGTTGGAAGTATCCTGCCAGAATTCGTGACCACTTTCGTGACCTTTGGCCCTTTGGCTGAATCTAAGGGGGTGGCTGATTTGAGGTTTTGGGTCGGTGACTTGAACATACACACTGAAAAGCTTAGGGTCTGGACCAGGAGACAAGGTTTTAGAAAAACACTTTGCAGTTCCCACCCCAAGTGACATGGGGTCCACCAAGTGACATCCTTTGGTTCCTCGGACCTGAAGAACACCGCTGGCCCCGTCCCCTCCGCGCCATGTCCATCCGGAGCCCGTCGCATCCCGCGGATCGATACAAGCCGTGGCGGAGCGGGTCCTGCGGGTAGGTGGTCAAGAATTGCAACATCATATCCTCGGCGCCCGCGGAAAGGGTCGCGCGACCCGCGCGTGGTGACCGCGCTTTTTGCGGTAGAGACCGCGCCGAAGCCGCGGAAAAAAACCGTCGGCGGGCATGTTTGGCAAAGACACCGCCTGGAAGAAGGAAAGTACCATAACCCAAGGGTTGGGGGTCTTCCTATATTCAAAATGCCCATCCCTTGCGCCAAACCGCCCGGTCTGCCCCGAAGTGATGCGTCACCCGTCAGCGCGGACGCGGAATCCGCGCGGAAATCCCTAGGGTGGTCCGCCTCAGGTGCAGAAGTTCCGAAGGTGGATCCAACACCTGACGATGCTGCCTTTTCCCAATCCAACTCACCTCCGTGCTAGTCGACCCACCAACGTCGACCTAAAGAGGTCGACCCATCTTCCACCAAGCGAAGTGCGTCGACATGGTGCCCTTCGTGGCCCGGAAACAATCCAGCAAAGTGCCTGTCCCTTTGATGTCACCCCCTTCATCGTGGTCTCCGCACATGGTCGCGGGATGTCGCGGGTTTCCGGGATGCGTGAGGATGGCTAACCAGCGAGCTGGCTGAGTTCTGATTCCAGCTCAGGAAGAACAGCGAAAAGCAATGACCTGCAGAAAATGGTTTGAATGTAATATAAGATTTCGTGATATTTCGTACATCAATAGGAGCTTTTGTATGAGCCAAGACTGCTCCAGGTGAGCTTTGGATCAGCTCTCCCATTGGCAAAGGCCCTAATTACAGGTCAGGTTCACCTTATTCGTTCATTCCAACTCAGAGGTACTTAATCGCTCACTAGGCAGGATAAACTTTGGAACTTAATTGGCCCAACGTGTGCAACCGTGGATGAGGAAGATTCATGGCTTTTGACTGTAGAAATGCTCCAAACTTGCACTTTTGGCAGCCCCCCACCGTCAACCCTGGAACCCTTTTCCCCTTTTTTGCCGAGTCGCTACCAAGAAGACAAAGTCAATGAAGAAACCTCAACCGCCACATGTCATCATGCACCCTCCCTCGAAACCATCCTGCGCGAAACCGTGGAACCGTGGAACCGGCGGCGACCGAGCCGCGGTGACGGCAACCGGCAACCGGATCTCATATCCGGTAGACCCTCAGCCCCTCCCCTGATTCAGTGTTGTTTTCTGGGCTGGGAAAGTCTCTGGAACAAGTTCTTCGTTTCTTCCTGCGGGTGGGGAGAACCCATCCCCACCGGGTCAATGGAAGATCCATACTGACTGGCTGAGGAGGTCTCAAGTCCGAACATCCAGTCTTCGAAGGGCTCGCGACGCTCGCGCGGCTCCGGACGATCAGCGTCGTCAGCGTAGCGTCGAGGGCGGATCGGACCCGTGTGATCCACCATCGACAGAGCCAGTCGGAGCGTATCTCAGGGTGATCGGAGAGTCCAGTCATAGCGAACCGGAGAAGGTATGAAAACGGATCCCTGGCAGCCACTCACATGAACCTGCTCTCGCCGAGCTGCTCACCACCATCGTGGCATCCAGCTGCAAGCTGAGCAAACCCACCTCTGGCGCGTCGCGCGTCACACGTCGAAGAACATCTCGTCCCAAAGATGGGTGCCTTCCCTGAACAACTAAACCAGCACCTTCAAAAGAGGTCATGAATGGAAGCCCCTACACTACTTGGGGATCTCCGGACACTAGCCTATAGCTTTTGGTCGGGTTTGCTTGCAAACCTCGTGTTTTTTCTCCCATCATCCAAACCCAAGGTGCAAACCCGGACCTGGTTGGTCCATGGGAGTCCGGTAGGTCCTCCAGCTGGTCACCGTCTTAGACTACCCAACCCCCTGGACCGTCAAACGATCCGAGCATGTCACGTGCAAGTCCCGAGCTGGTGGTGACTTAGTGAACCTAAGGTCGAACTGGAAGCCACCCTATACCCAAACACTCCATGGGACTGCCATATATACATTGACCCCTCTGGCACCACCCCAACTGATCGGCAGTCCTACGGCAGTTTTTTGAGACGGGTCGTGTCTGGGATACAAACAAGACTGCTGGGAACCTCTCCATGTCCCAAGATGGCCCAAGCATTAAGATACAGCACGGCTGGGTTCGTCCGGAGCTGGTTCCACCATGACGTCTGCTTGCCAAATCAGTTACAGTTGGGATCGTTTTCTTTCGGACATGGGTCGCATGCAATGGAATCCAGTCCCATCGACATGCCTACATTGGGGTGATTTGCTGTCGGCACCTATTCCGGAGTTCTCTCTTTCACTCTCCAGTTGCCCAGTTGATGCGCTAGCCACCGAGCCCGGTTGCCCCACATGCTCCGGTCGGGCACCACGTCCGGCATCCGAACAAACTTGGGTCACACAGCCCCATGCAATCCACGTATCCCAAACACTCCATGTATGCCATATATGCCTACATTGACCCCCCAAAACCACCCCAATGTAGGCATATATGGCATACATGGAGTGTCTGGGTATGGCAAGTTAGAGCATGTTAGAGCGACATGGCAAAGCTTGTAAACGTCGGAGATGAACATAAGCAATGTGCATTAAAAGGGTCCAAGATGGTCCAAGTGTCTTGAATGTTTCCAGTCCCTTGAGAGCGGGGGAGAAGACTTCCAGACTTCCACGGGTGCTGAACAAATGTTGAAACCAGCGGAGGATCATGAACACCAACTCCCATCAAATAGCCGGTTGGAAGTCTCGTTTGGGTATAGCTCCTCGCATGAGAGAATCCCAACCACGACCTGTCTGGGACTGGCGGACTGCCGAGAAACGGCGCAGGGCTGCTTGAAAAGAATCTTGAAAAAGGAGCTTTATAAAAGCAAAGTATTCAATACAATACACTCCCGAAAACTAACATAGACCCGGACAATGGTAACCTGGAAGATTGTTTTCCTCTACCAACCAGTGGTTTTCAGGGTCTATGTGAGTTTTCGGGGGTGTACCAAGAATGTAAACAGAATGTTCCCCCTGCAAAAGAGCACTTGCAGTAAGATGTTGGGAACCAGCACAAAAATAACCTCCCAAAGACCGCAGATCCTCCCAGACCGCCTGGACCGGGGTTACAAAGGCCACGAACAAGAGCGCCGCAGCCACCACGCCCTGCGCGAATGAGGCATAGACCGGAGGGTGGAGGACCCATGTGGGCCGTGGTCTTAAGCGAAACGGATAGTATACGGGATTAGTACTACGTATGGTTGCACGGCCACATGAATCAAGCCGAAGTTCCAATGACTCATATTTACTCCACCTGGTCGTCATAATCCACCAGTTCCATGTGGATTGAAACGCGTCATGTGGAACGAAGCACGGCATTGCAACATTTGCAAGCAAGCACCTCTTCCCTTGCTTTGCCTGCCGCCTGCCGCCACCCCGACGTGGCTTTTCGACGCTGCCTGCCAAACATTGGCCCAGGTGCTCGTGTCAGGGTTGATGATATACCAAGGCCTGAGTGGTGACCATTCCGATTCCAATTCGATCGAGTCAGCCAACTACCAAACACCGGCAGTGCCGAAAAAAGAACACACACAAACACGTACTCCAGGGCATGTCTACATATCCCAGCACCAGGGAATTCGGGGGGTTCTTGGAGAATGTGTCTATCAACCACCCTGAACCTCTGTGGTACTGGTCATTGATCTCCCTTTCAACCACGCCAACGCAAAGGGAAATCATGCCAGCCCCATGGCGCGGGGTTCGCCCCACCGGCGTGCCGGAAATCGAAGGAACAACCAAACAGTCGCAAGGGCTCTAGTCGTACCGAACCTGAGGAGGTACGACTGCCGGAACCGGAGTCACGCCGGCTTTGTGAGGTGGAGAATACCCAACAGAACCGTTCTCATCAAGCACTGCATGGGTGATGATGTTCACACCCGACCTTAGGGGTACCTGATCCCAACGGTGAATTCAGCTCGGACCCTTTCCTGGAACACGGGGCAAATACCCATATAACGATATTGAAAACGTATCGATGTGGCCGCAGGAATTCGCGGCAGTCTCCAACTCTTCCCGAACACATGGTGTGTCCTTCGATGTCGCCAGGATGCTTCTGTGCGACAAATCTCTTGGTCTTCTGCGCCCGCATGACGGTGAACCTCGGCCATGACGGTGTCTAGCTTAGCTCGGGACGACGAAGCGACTTCATTGGCCCATTTGGACGAAGAAGGAGATGGCCTGGTGACTTCGGTCACCGACTCAGTCGTTTTAGAGTAGATGGAAACACGGCGAACTGAAGAAGCTGGCAGGTTCCTGTCACCATTTGTTGAATGAGAAGTATCTATGACCCCTTCACCAGCAACAAAAAAACTTGTTTTCTCGGGGTCCTGAAAGAGATAGATAATCTTATGATAATCTCAATTGGATAGTCTAATTGGAGCCTGGAGCTCGGTAGTTGGACTATCTCGGTCTATATAGGAGATAGTTGGAGCCTGGAGCTCACAAAAGGCTCTTTTATTTGCACTTGCTGGAAATTTGACGACCGGAGGTGGTGTTTAGTGACGTTTAGTGGGTTCTTCTAATGCCCCTAAAAAGGTTAAACATTCATTATGTAGGATCGGGCGTGTGATGTTGCTGTTCCAATTCTCGTTCCTCTCCTAAGACCTCCACCTCAAACCAATCTCCATTGGTCCAAGGGCTTGTTCTCGCCTTTCCGCGGGCGTCTGAGAACCGGCCCGAATCCACTCTGCCCAGCGGCCCCAGCTTCTCGGCATCCATGATGGAGAACTCCTTCGGTTTAACGGACGCACCAGCGCTGGCAGTTCTCCCAGTCGTCTCGACTGGGAGAAGCACGGTGGAGACCACTGGTCGAGGGTTTTGGGTTTCGAGCACTGTCGGGGAAACGCCAAAGCCAGGGATGGACTAGAGCCACACTCCCGACCACACCCCGTGTAGAGGAAAGTGGTCTTTCTTTCGGGGTCGACCTGGGACAACGAACTCTCCCTAGGGCTCCTGGCCCACCGAACCTGAGGTGAGGATATGGTTGGGGTGGGTTTTGGGGGTCTAACCACCGAACCTGAGGAGATGGTTGGAGCCCTAGGGTCTATGAAAGGATAGCAATTACCCACTGACACACCACAACAAATCAATGGCTTTGCATGCTGTGGCATGAAACTCTTCAACACCACTCGTCCCCTGACCGGTGAATATATCTTCGATTCAAAACCAGACCATGACCGGTGCCTACCACCTTCACTTCAGCCACGCCTTCAAAACTCTTGTACGCCTTCTCGGAACAGGTCCTTCGTGGATCTGAGCATGCCCGTCTTCGGCGGATGCACGCTTTGGCTCAAGGCGCTCTGCGTGCCGGAGGAATCCATCGACCGTGTGCCACGCGACGCGGAGGAGGCGACCACGGAGGAGGCGACCACGGAGGAGGCGGAGGTGTGAGTGGCCTGGCGCAAACTCGGGGCTCCGTGGGTGATATAAAATCACAAAGCGATAAGATGCAATAAGCTTATGTGCAATAAAACAAAAAACTATTCCAGGAGTCACAAAGGGGTGGTGTTTGATCCCCAAGTGAGTGGATAATGGGCACCCCTAACCTCCATTAAGCACCCCTTTGTGACTGCCGGTTTATGCACTACATAAGGAGCTGGTGTTCTTAATTTCAAGTCCTCCATGATTGTTTTGGGAGTTTCTTGGACTCCTTAGGGCTCCAAGTACGCCGCATCGCTCCCAATGGCTCCAATGGCCGTCGACCTCTGGCCCCCCTTCGGAGGTGAGTGGGGGCCACGTGGAAGCGGCCAACCCAGTGACTCCATGTACCAGGATATTTTGAAGAGGTGTCTATCAACAGCCCCTTTAGAGGTTAAGAGGTGTCCAAAAACCACCGGACTTGGAGGGTGCTGGTGTGGGCATTATTTGTTCCGATCGCTTGGGGTGGTTGAAAAACGAGTCCATGGAATGTAAATATGACATATATACCTTATATACCAGCACCCGACTCTACAGGTCTCCGACATGGCCGGCTTTTTGGCAGACGTACAAGTCGCAGGTGGACCTGTTGGAGGGTGCTGGTACATGGAGTGCCTATACTTATAGGTATATATGGAGAAGGCCTTCGGACTGAACCTGTCAAGACATGGGCCACGAGGTCCTTCAAAGGTCACTTTGAAGAAGCAAGCACCTGAAAGCTGCCACCACTACCTGAAAACTGCAACCACATACAGGCAACTGACCAAGTCCTACTGAAATGCTCAGAAATCCCATAGGGGACTAAGGTATGACATGGTCGTTTCCTTGTGCACCATTTTCAGGGTGCCCATCTTCCTCTCTGCTCATCCGCCTGCGATTGAGCAATCCAGCTGGAAATCCTTGGGTGTCGGTCGTCCGGAGCGAGGAGGTGTGCTTTGAAAAACCCCTCCAGACTCCAGGTACCTCGTTTTACTGGAGCTGGTCATGCCAGAATGCTACGAGGCTGAAACAGGACCAGGATGGACCAGGGACCTTCCTGGGTCAACAAGGACCTGCAGGGAGAGATGCTCGGGTGAAGTGTGCTCTTCGTCCGACTCTTCGAATTGCGCGTCTCCTCAAAAGTCCCCGTCAGTTGCAAATCTCTCACAAATCCCTAGGCCGACTCCCACAGAAGCGCTCAAACCGCAATCTGTAGGAGGACACTCTTTGAAATAATCATGGAGGTGGAATAAGATTGTTCTTTTTGTTATGTTTTTGGGATTGCAATTTTCCTCCGTAAACAAATTGTTTTCCACTTCCATGACTACATCAGGGAGTGGAATCCTTTCTTATGCACCCCATGTTCTCTGACTCACATGGAAGTGGATGACATGGTCCCTTGTTAAGGCGGCCTTTCCCCAGAATCAGCATGAAAGAGGGTGTTCTCAGCTCCACGTCGGAGATGTGAACAAATCCAAGTGTTCGGACCTTGGCCACTTCGGCCCGACATGTCGATGCCACCCTGTGGGCTGGAACGTGCAAGAATCAGTCCTCAACATGACTCATGGGACTACCATACGACTGCCTACGACCTCCCTGGCACCCCAACTTAGTATGGCGTGGTTGGAAAGGGGGTGAAACCATAATAGTCCCATACCCAAACAGTCCTCCCTGGCACCACACCCCGAACGCCCGTTTCTCGGCCACCCGACTCGCTAGTTCCAGGTCCGGGTGGTGTCTGGGAGTGATAAGGCAGTCCTACCATCCTACGCCACGTTTGTCGATCGAAAAGGGGGCTGGACGACTCGCACATCCGGACTCGGCCGAGCGTCACGCTGGAGGCTTCCTTACGTTGGATCTGAGGGTTCAGCGAGAGCGACCAGGAGGTATCCAACATGTACTTTGGCTGCTCCTGCGGCAGGTCACATGCGAGGTCACACGGTGCACTTGTTTTCAGAATCGACGTTTCTCTGACCATGCACAGCTGGCCGATGAAGTCCACAACCAAGCATTGATTCAAAGACTTCGAGAGAAGCGTGAGCTTGGCAGTTGGCAGCTGGCAGTGCCTTTCCCTTCACCTTGTTTACCGACTGTTTTACAGGTAATAGGACAAACCCATAACGGATGCATGACAAACTCCACCAACCTGTATATGAGCCTCAACCGATTGATGGACCATCTGCGCGCGCCAAAAAATATGCGCTGCAGGGTCAGCCTCATGCTACTTGGAAACGCTGGGCTTAGCCACTCGGACTTGGTAGCTAGTAGTTTTGGCATGCGTTGGCCACCGTTGGCCACAAGATTAGTGGGCACCAAAGAATGATCAGCGGATGGTGCCGGTAGATGTCTGTAGCAAGTAGCAAAGACTGTTTCCCTATGATTATCTGGCATTGCTGTGGTTCACATGTTGCATGTTCTTCTCATCTTTCCTCATCGATAGAAACTCAAACAGTAAACGTCGAAGAACCTCAATTCAATTCTTGACATGGGAACACAATTCAAAACTCTTAGCTTGTTACGTTGAGTGATCCATTTCTATGAGACGCTGTTTAATGGACCTTTTTCATGGACCATTATTGTGGAGCTCTCCAGTCACCGGACGCTCCTCTTGCACCGGTCAAAACACCTGGACCCCCCAAACCCGTGTAACCGTGTAACTTGACCATGGACATGGCAGTGGTTTCAGATGGTACTGGCCACCCGAAGATGCCGACCCAAGATGGAGGATCCACTACTGAACCACCCAACTTGGGGGTTGTGCCGTCTATTCTGAAACAACTAGTCGCTTCTTGTCTCTTCTATTCATGTTCGGTGGGAAAACTTGGGATCTCTTGGATGAAAGACCCACAGCCACATCGCCCTTTTCTTAGCACGGTGCCCCTCCTGGGTGTCGGGTGGCTTAGGTGCTGACAGGGGCACGAGGGGCGGCAGGGGCACGCTTTGGATGACCTGGGCCAGCGACCAACTTGACCCTACCATACGCTACCAGCAGTCACGAACAGGTGCCTATTGCAGGATAGGGGTGCCCATTATCCATTCACTTAAGGACTAAAAACCACCCCTTTGTGACTCCTAGTAGGGAAATAACACTATATGCATTAAATTAATGTACATTTATAAAAAGTGGCTTCAGAGGTTCGATGGCATGTTCTCCCGAAGTTGATTGGTTGAAATGGACCACTGTACGAATTGCACCAGCATAGACCCCAAATAGCGGGTGTATAGGTGTGTCACGCCTGGCACGACATGATGTCATCCCTGCCGAATGACAGGATGTCATCCCTTGCACGGCATGATGTAATCATGTAACCCCTGGCATGACATGATGTCGTCCCTATATACATGATGTCAACCCTCGTAAGACATGATGTCATCCCTGGACCACCAATCCAAAGCCAGCGCCTGCAACAGCACGGCACCAGCACCGGCAAAACAAAAGCACCAGCACCAGCACGGCAGCAGCACCAGCAAAACCAAACGCTGATCTAGAGCCAGCGCCTGCACCAGCATGGCACCAGCACCGGCAAAACAAAACGCCGACCCAGCACCAGCACCAGCACAGCAGCAGCCTGCACCTGCACCTGCATCAGCACGGACCCGCAAAACCAAAACGCCGATCCAGAGCCACACCATTGAGAAGTTGGAACCCCTATAGCCTGCAGCTATCTGGGGAAGCAACATCTTGGGGTGCCAGTGCCATCTACTCTGAAACCACTGTAATCATTGATCAATATTGATCATGTTTCATGTTTGATCCAATTTCCACCCGGTCGTTCGCAGTGGAAGAACAATCCCTCAAACGATCAAAGGTTGTCTAATGTTGTCTACTGACTTGGTAGAGTGTGTAGTGTTTTGGGCTCAAGGTGGGGACTTGAATGCTGGCTTCAGGCAATGCCGCGCTTCAGATTTTGGTACGTGAAACCCGTTTTTAATTGGTACGCGTACCAGCGATCAGGTGGATGTATGGCGTCCCCCAAGGTGGATCGATGGTGCAAAATGGCACATTTACAGTGCCACACTTCGGATCGATGACATCATGACTCTATCTGTTTCTCTATCTACGTTCACCAAACTTTTAACGTCGCTCTTCTTCTGCAGTTGCAACACCCCTCTCCACCAAACTAAATACAGTAGAGAAGTGCAGCTGATCCACAAGAATGGACGGAAGGCATCCTTTCAGGTTCAACCACCGCCGACCGGATGAGCCGCCCTCTCCATTCGGCTGCAGGCGAGAGGACTCTTGATGATACGGCGGCTGACTCCCGCAACACATGGAGTGTAAAACTTCAGTTTTGGGAGGGGCTGACCAAAAAAACGCCATCAAGAGTCTATGCTGCAATTATAGGACAAAGCCTTTCAAGCTTTGACCATCGACTTCATCACTTGAAGCCCGACTTCGCGCCCCGCCGCGTTCCGGCCGACCCTTCCGGTGGTTTCCGCGCCGCGCCTGGCTCTCCACGCCCGAAGGCGGCGGAGCTCCGTGCCGGAGCCGCGCCAGCTCCGCCGTCTGCTTTTCCAACTCCTACGATGGTCCCGGGCGTCAGGACATGCACAAAGCAGCAGCCGAAAGGTGCAGTTCAGCCGAAAGGTATATCATTCTCATTATCAGTGCCAAGTGGATGATGATGCAAAAAACATAGAATAGCACTAACAAAAAAAACAAACTGTTAAACAGAACCTTTTTTTTCAACTAGTACTGGTCATTTGACACACCCTACCCCATTATACTTGCCCAAAGAGTTGGGGATGTGTATCAATGTACCAGGGCGCCCAGTTCGGGGTCAAGGCCATTCCCTTTGTGGGTCCTGGTATCAAATCTTGGACCTCATCTCTTCCACCGGACCTACACCGTGATTCACCTCCGCATACCTCTGCGCAGTGGGAAGCTTGGCCTAGACCTAACATATGGTTATGTGGAGTTGATCCCCTGTTTGGATCTGTTTGGTCTTCCGATGGTGGTCTCCCAATGGGGTCATGTTTCCGCTGCCATCGTGAGTTCCAGGCCGTGTAACCCCCCCAAAAAAAAGCAACTCCAGCGCAATGGTTCTCCACTTCAAGAGAAAAACACAATACGCCTCCCTTGTCGCCTGTGCGAGCTCTCGCAGCAGCGTCCGCCAATGCTCCGCCATGCTTCACCCCGTCCAAAGAGCTACCGGTGGAAAATGCGACCGTTGTTCCGCCGTGCTTGTTAGATCTTTTTTGTGGCACTTTTCGGTCTGATCCTCTGCTAGTGCTCGCTCTTCCAGGTGGTTTAAACCACCAAGCAAAAGTGTGGTGACAAAAGCTCGGGTCCAAAGAAACCAACGATGTTCAAGAGGTCATTCTCTGGAACATTGGACCCGCGCTTCTTCCCAAAATTGGGACTGTTTCCGAAATTCCGGGGTTCAAAAACGTGTTCGTCTCGCACTTTTGACCGGTTCCTGGCTTAGTCAAGCGCTGTCTCGGCCTGGTCGATCTGTCAATGTGGCGGAATGGCGAAAGTCCAAGAGGAATTCCAAGAAGTTAAGGGGTGTCCATCAACCACCGCTTGTGGGTCCTGGTATGGAATAGATAAGCTAATTACATTGACCCTATGTATGATCAATCCATCTAGGTAACTATTCCACGACATGGAGTATTTGGGTAGGCTACGTGGAGTGAAATCCGCCCGGACCTTGGTCTTTGGATTGGTCCTCTGCAAGTGGAGGTGTATTTAGAACCCCTAATAAATTGAAAAGTAGATTCCAACTAAGAATGTATTGGAAATTCCGTGCGTCTTTTTGGGGGCCACTACAAATCAAGCTACCTGAGGTGGACCAAAAGACTGATCCATGGAGGGGTGTCCATGGATAAGCCATGAACAAACCAACCGCTTGAGGCCCCTGTCTCGTTTGGAATCAGTAATCTCACGGATCAAATGACGAAGAAGCCAACATCCAGCAGAACCTCCAGCATTTGGAATGCAAGGTCAGGGGAATATATTTAAAAAAGACATGCGAACATACTCCAGCACATAGATTTGATTGTCATACTTCCGGTGATGATCAACGAGGTCTGTTTATCTGATGGTTCTCCAACTGCTGGTGATCCATCGTCAACCGGACGCTCCAAAAATGGAAACCAACAATCAAACCCTATGGATCCACATACCAAACCTGAGGTACGGTGAGGACGGAGACTATTTATGTAGGCTTGGAGGCTTGGAGGGTCCCATTTGCCTTCTGAGGTACGGTGGCAGTGGATCCATAGGGAAACGACCTTTCCCTTCACAGATTCAGAATTGCATTGTGTATGCTCTGCTCTCCACCGGTGGCTCCACCATCTGTTGTAGGGCTCCATACCCGGTGTTTCCCTTCCAACCACTATGGAGTTTAATACACTCCGACGCACACATCAGATGGAAGTGGAGGTTCACACCCCAGTTGCAAAGGAAAGGGGGCATCAGCGGCATCAGCAAACCTGAAGGGTGAATTTTTTGGCAGAATGCTTTTTGAAGGGAAGTGCCCTCAGGTACAGCATTTGAACACAAAAAACCTGGCTCTAAGTTGACCCAAGGAAAGGTGCTCTTCAGTGGTTTTGGGTAGCATAGCCATTCCAGTATAGATCCCAAAACATCCATTACACATAAATGTGTATATATATGTATATATTTATTTATTAGATAGGGGGCACCAAGTATGCAGAAGCCTCGTTGAAGCAAACGCACTCTCTCCACGATATATCCTCTCCTTGCTGGGGAGGACTGCTGTGACCCTCTGCATTTCTTCCCAAACAACTTTGAGCCGAGGAATGAGAGGTTCTGGAGATCTCCCAAGCAGTTGTTCATGAGCTCAGCTCGATATACCCTAGGGCTCCAACCATCTCCTCAGAAGGTGGTTAGACCCCCCTGGCACCCACCCCAACCATATCCTCACCTCAGGTTCGGTGGGCCAGGAGCCCAAACGGGTATATAGGCGAATGGAGTTGTCACGGACCCGGGCGAACACCTATTCTTCCCCCAACGCCGTTCGGGCATGACTCTCCGGGACCAAGCGACCAAGCTGACCACGGAGGTCGCCAACTGCTTGATGCCGGTTCCCGGTTTCGGTTTGGGGAAGCGCCCAAAGCACCGGAACACTCCAAAGTACCCTAGAAGATGGGACTCCAAAGTACCGCTAAAGAACATGCACCAGGAGTCACAAAGGAGTGGTTTTTAGTCCCCAAGTGAGTGGAGTAGCTGGGCACCCCTAACCTCCATTAAGCACCCCTTTGTGACTGCTGGTATATATTTAGCACCCATGTTCTAGGTATATCTTCTGAGGCCAACGGTCTTTGAGTCTTTGAGCCCCAAGCAACGGGGCTCAATCTTTTCACCGAACTGTCCACCTGTTTGCATACCACTCTGCCATGGCCTTGTTAAGTGGGGTTCTTCCCCAATCCACCTAAGAAGGTGCAGGGCCTCTCCACTGAACTTCTTAGGTTCCCCCATCTTCCCGTCTTTCCAGGTGCCCCCGCGGCCCTGGGGCCATATACTGCACCCCGCCCTCGGAGCCGACAAAGCCTGGGCGGGGAGGGGGTGAGGCATCCAGGAGGTTCCTTCCCAGAATTAGGAACATCTACAGCAAATCCATGGTTTTCACACCCCAGAAACATGGGTTTCCTGCGGGTTTCCCTTAAACAATTCTGGGATTCCTGCATTTGCTTCAGGAACTTGGAAGAGTATTCACCGGGAAGGGATGCACTCGAAGAGAAAATACAGAATCACCCTAAGCCCTAAGCCTAAGCAAAACCTGGAATTCCTGGGAAAGATCTCCAGAAGCGGTGGTTTTCCCACAGTCACCACTGATTGAGCAACACATGACTCCTTGCACCTTCCAACGCAATTGGAGCGGAGGAACAACTTTTTGTAAAACACAACGCATCCTTGGGGACATGCACCACCCAAAGGTTGTTTTTGTTGACCCCCTTGCAATGTGTGTCCTATCAAAAAGTCATGGCATAAACAAAGCTTCAGACCTGCCTCGCTAAGTCAAGTCACAAACAGAACCAACAAAAACACATGTCACACTCAGTGCTCCACTGTGCTCTGTCTTCTCAGGCAAGACCACGGCCTTTTCTCAAGCAACAAGGGTTGGATTTGGATTTCGGGGCCTTTCTATGGCCTTGGATTTGCTGCCCTGGAGCCCGAAAACAATTATTCCCCATGTTTGGGGGTTCACTCAGTTCCGGAAAACAGAAATCACGTGAAATCACCTTACGCCTTGAGCATAACTAGGCGTAGCAGCTCAGTCTGAGGTTTATGGCCCTCCATGGCCCAACAAAAACTAAAACATGGTCCACGTGGTGAAGTGCTTTCAGAACTGGCAATTGACCACCAAATATGTGGCGAATCAAGAACACGCAAACTATAGTACCTACAGACACACCCGTTTGGCCCAGGGGTGGTCTTTGGAGCATTCTGGGGTGGTGAATGGGCACCCCTTACATCTTCATACCACAAGCCAATTGGCATCAATTGGCACTTAGATAGATCGTCCTGGTAGAGCTTCGCTAGGCATGGAGCCAGTATACCTGCAGATCATGTGCTTAGCTCAGCTAATTTCAGAGCGGAGGGCAACAACTAATAGACTCATCATCACCCAAAGATATGTAAGGCGCCCCAGGTCCCAAGCCCTAGAGTTTCCTATCTACTCTGAACCCGGACTGGGACACATCAGGGTTAACATGCCTCATGCCTTCAGCCCAGCCACGTGACTTACTCTCCCCTCAAACGTCCAAAATCACGTGCGTGTATCCACACATGGGACTGGCCTATTTGCGGTCTTTCTGCATCGGAATCTCAGGGCGTTGGAAGATGTGTACCAACTGCACATACCGGTCCTTAGAGCTCCTGCGGTCCGACTTCGCGGCTGAAACGCCGTGGTTCCGGCCGGTGGCACCTCCCGAGGGGAGGCCGTGGCAGTTGCCGTTCCCGCCCTGAAGGGAGGCGGAAGGTCGGTGACTGATATGAAACAACGTCTGCTGCCGGTGGCTGGGCTGGTTTGATGAGGAAAAAGGCAAAGATTTGGTTGGAAGATCATGGAAGATCTTGGTACACCTACATTGGCCCCTACACATCCACCATCCCAATGTATGCAACACATTGGTCCTAACGATGCCAGTCAGTGTCTGGGGATGGAAAGATCATTTTTTGCTGGTCACCGTTCGAACTCAGGAGGTGAAACATATGTTTCTATACCTAGGCCCTCCTGTCGGGGTGTCCTGGCTGGACTACCCCACACTACCGGCCTAGGCTTCCATTGGGCACGCCTTGGAGGGTCCTGGTATTTGTCTGTGGTTTCAGAGGTTCCATGGCACTGGCACCCCAAGATGTCTTTTAGATGCGTGGATATGAGTGCTGAACGACCTTTGGCTATTGCAAATGAGAAATGATAATGTGGTTTCTCCAACTACGACTACCACTGGCTGTTTGCCAATTGGTCATTCGATCATGCATCTGGTCGCGGGCAACAGCCTTTGGCGTGCAGAAGAGGAAAAAGAGCGGAACATCTCTGTCAGGAAGCATGGTTCACTTTCGTTGCGGGTTGGAGGTGATCACACAAAAAAATCACCCATCTGGAATCATCTGGAGGTGTGAAAGGGCACTCCTCTCAACAGTTGGTGATGATCGTTCTTACCCTCCCAACCACGACCCATGGGGCTGGCATATGTTATATACACTGACCCCCCTTTTCAACAAGTGTACTTTGGATGGAGGCGAGGTGCACACCGGTCGTTTCCGCAGGAGGGTGAACACCTGAACAGGACAGGGGGGAACTAGTTCGGACGGTGGATCGAGGGACCGAGAGTGTCTGAGGGTCATTTTGGGGGGACCCACCAGCCGCTCAAAAAACGCCCACAGTGAGCCAAAACCCCCAAAACTCCACCCAAAACACACAACAAAATCCTCTACATCAACACACACACACACACATATTTAATACAATATAATTACTTATGTATAATATATATTATTCATATATACTTCACCCGAGTTGGGCCAATATCAACCGCTGTTCCGGAACAGGGTGCGGCGAAGTGCGCTGCCTCTGCTTGGAGGTTTTGTTGGCGAGAGCCTCCTGAGTGACACAGAACTTTTTTTTGGGGGTGTTTTTTCGCTCAAGATCTGGAAGACCCCCTGCTCACCGAAAAGCAAGAGCCAGTTCATGTGGCGAGA